GTTCAAGCAGCAATAATAATCTTCTTGAACTACAAGATCTGCTCTACAACATTTGAGTTTTGTTAACCAGCATTTGGACTTTCGTTTAGCCTATGGACGTATTTCAATACATCAAAATCATCCCACATTCCAGCATGTAAACAGCCCCTTAGCCTAAGATGCCTGTTAAGGAGGTAGGGAAAGTGCAATTTGAATACCAAACACCTTGCACAAAGTCAAATGTCAGCTAAATATTCTAATTCTACTTTCTTGGCATGCCAAATTTATATGAATTCCTTCAATGCTTATAACTTCTTGTTTTTGTATGTATGATTATAATTACTGTCAGCACTGGTGAAGCTAGCCATAGTAACAGCTAGGTCATGCTATGGTTTTTAATGATTTGCATTGCAGGTCTATTAGCATACCATGACCAGTTACCATGGGTAGCTTGCCACTCATTACTAAACAATAATAGTTATAATACCATATGTACGTATAAACAATAATGATACTTGAATGAATCATTGGACACACAGAATTTAATAACAATTTCATATATAGAAATACTAAGTCAGTTTTTTTCCCAATTATTGTTTTAATGGCACCTTCAAGGCTATCTCTATTGTAGAACAACTGAACAATCTGCTGATGGGAGACAAAATCTATATTTGTCGACATTTTTGTTTAATATGTCAGCTTCAGATGGCACCATTCATTTGTAAAGACTAAGATAGTACACACTCAGAACTGCAAAACTATATAAGAAATTGTGAGCATTATGCACCAGTCAGTGGAATACCCCGCACCCCCCTACCCGGGGAACAGCAGGACATTAGACCAAGACCTTGCTCTATTTTACTCTCCGCTATATGGGCCACTCCCACTTGCCTAAACACAAATAATGTCCCTGCTCTCCGGGCCCACCATACAATATCTACAAAGAATATTCGCACATCTATTAAACTGGATTCTTTTCAATTCGATTTAGTTTTGCTCATTGTTCGGGGCCCCTAAAAACTGGGCCTTTCCCTTTTTACTTAAAATTTAAGTCATATCTATGGTCCATACTGAATGCTTAAAAAATAGAACATCTAAATGGTTTACAATAACTTTCAAGAAAATAAAACGGTGACCTAATAACACAAGAGATTGTCAGTTCGTTCGCAAAATTATCAGCTCCCTTTCATTGCTCATTCCCAGTCTTTTTTCATTTTCAAGATGGCGGCTATGTCTAATCCCCGATATAAGTCCTGCCAAAGTCCCCGGTACCTGATAATATAACTAATACAGTCTAAATCCCTGTGTAGCATGGTCGAATATAAGGTTCAATCTCTCAATAATTCCCCGCTATTCCCCAGGTAGGGGGGTGCGGGGCACTCCACTGACTGGTGCATTATCAAAAATCCTGAAATGTGGTGGTGACACAGCCAGGTGAAATGGTGAATACATGAAGGCCAGTAGGATTATTTCGTATTGGGCTATTAAACAATGGACATATCTCAGAGGTATATTTTTACAGTCTGACCATCATACCTTGTAACTGCTGGTAACTCAGTTAATATATGCAGACAACAATCCACACTGGGTTGCTATAGGATAATAGGAATATATTTATACACAACATTCTGCGTGATGAATAATATGCTACATTAATAAATGAAATATATTTAAAGCTAAATCCTCTTAACCGTGGAGCTAAACATTCATAGCCATGGGTGCATTTTAATATTTAATATGTATGACAGACTATGTTTTAGGCTAGTACACACAGACATTTCTCATTATAAATAGTGTATGGAAATATGTGATATAGTGTATGAAAATATATGATATACATAATTCGCGCTGTGAATTGAGCAATAGAAGAAAAGAAAAAATCGAACAAATTGACATACCTTTAAACGATCTCCCTTTCTCACAAAACTTGAAGTATTAAAGGCCAGTATTTATACAAAGTATGTCTTTGCTTCGCTCCTGACGTCGACACCTCGTGTTAAAATGCTGCGAAGCTTGCTGATCGAAATATTTTTAAACGCCATACTTGGTACGTCGTTCGCAGTCGCTAAACAAAGTATTCGGCAGTCATCGATTTGCTATTTTGAATTCCTGGGGTATGATAACGCTCCAATGCAAATTCCTTACTGCAACGTCATAATATGACGTCACAACTGCCGACACAAAATCGAGATGAGCTTCAGTATATAAAACTGTTGGCGGGAAATTCAAATGCGCTATAACACATCGTCAAGAATAGGAGGCTGCCTTCGGCAGCAATAATGTGAACAGCACTACTGTTTCATTAAGGAGCCGAGACAATTTTTGTTCGGGGAGAATTGGTTGCCCGCGACATAAAGCTGCCCGGGTCCATGTGAACAGTCTGGACCTAACAAATAAATAAAAGATATTGAACTTTGCAACAAATCAACTTTATTACTTAAACAAAGACAAGATTTTACACCAATGAATTAAACTAGATTTAACCCCAATCTCAGAAATCGTATAATTGCTTGACCAGTTGCACTATGTCTATGTGCTGTTTTATATAGATTAAATACTGAATCAGTATCTGAAAGACTTTCAGTGAATTATGTCTAACCATGCATAATAAGTAAATTTATAAGTAATAATAACAAGCAATAAGGTCATATTGAATAAGCGAAAGATTAATAAGAAACATATGAAAACCACAAAAAACTTTTATCGAGATTTTCATAAAAGTACTTTGTCTTGGAACAATAACTTGCCGAAAATCAAACGACACGCAAGTCATAGCCAGCACGTTTTAACTGCTGCATATGACTGTACGATATTTATTTTGAGCTGTATATTAGAAATAAACCACATTATCCATCTTTTCCATACGCCTCACAGTTTAAAACATGCATGGACGACTTGCAAGTCGTTTCATCAGATTTATGATTGAATTTTATATAGAGAAAATTTAAAATGACTAGTAAAATACTTTGCCAAACTATCTTGACTTATTTCTTTCTTGAGATATACAAGAATGTTCGATGCGCAAGTTCTTCTAACTATGACGTCAAATTGCATAAAATAAAGGCTTTGTGAAATTTAAATTATAACCCTTATAGATAACTGACTCGAATCTGTCGACATATAGTATATACTGGGGAAGTCGTTATGCAATGTGACGTCATAATGAGGATAATTTGCATATCAAACATAAGCCGGTTTTCCACTATTAAGAAAAGCAATTTCGTGGCACCCTCCTGGGGAATAGATTTTCTGTGGTTCAATGCATGCATAGTGCCATAGATGCTCAATTACCAACAAAAAGTTTCCAAGCGAAAAACTTGCCCAATACCGAGAAAATGGGTGATCAGCGATTATCCTCTATTAAATTGTATTACAGCAAGAAAATGTGAAAGTTTGTATTCAATTACAACAAAAATGACTTGCATCATCAGAAAGCTTTGAAAAATCCGCATATAAAACATTTAAACAGTTTTTTTATATCTCAAATTGTTTTCGAGTTATACGCTGTACCATGCAGTCCTTATATAAGGTCCAGACACACCGGACGCGATTCGACAACGCGACGCGATTTTTCGATTTTCACTGACCGATAAGTTTGATCCTAGTTAAAATTTTCCAAATATTTAGAAGCGTGAGTTATTTGGTCTACATATATCTTTCAAAATTTGCTTTCATTGGCTATTTTATTAACTTTCAAAAACTAAAACTGAAATCGCGTCGCATTGCCGAATCGCGTCCGGTGTGTCTGGACCTGATTGCGACATTTTGGTTCGATTTTCACATTTAAAACAGCAATAACTTAAAGACTATTTGAAGAATCAAAGAGCTGTTTAAAAGTCTTGTATGCGGTTTTTTGTACGTTTTCCGATGACGCAATTATATTGCATTTTTATTGTAATTGAATACAAAATTTCCTACTTTTTTGGTAGTAATGTAGCTGTATGCCTTTCAAATAAACGACAAACCAAGTACTTCCCACACCACGAAGCGAAATAATTTTGGCCCACGGCCTATATGGGGAAATGTGCGCGCGGAGCGGATTTTTTTTTGCTTTTCTAATTCCACCTGAAAAATCACATGTCAAAGAAAATGCCGCCAAGTGGAAAACCGGCTTAAGATAGTTTGGGAAAGCGACTTATTCGGTCAATTTGAATTTTCTTTACAACGCAATCATACAAAATGCAAAATATTTAGTGCACGAATATATATTGAGGTAAGTATAGGTTATTTTGAGGCAACGAGGGGATATGTGATTTATTCACCGAGGCGCGCAGCGCCGAGGTGAATAAACACATATCCGCGAGGTGCCTCAAAATAACGTACTTATTTTTCACATTGCGAGATCGCGTTAATGAGACAGAATAGAAATAATTCTTAATGCCATATTGCCTTCGTGATGTTGTTTTTTTCTCATTTTTTTGTGCTGCAAAGACATTGCAGGTGAATATTAGAAGGGATTATTAATTGCAGGTGAATATTAGAGGGATTATTAAACGGAAATTGATTAGAGGGGAATATTGAATATATTTCCCGATAAGAACAAAGGAAACCGAGCAGGGTGAAAAATAAGTTCTAGATAATATGGAACACTTCGACTTCTGATGGTTGAAAGTTGTAGGTTCCTGCCAGGATGGTCCTTGTGTCGCTGACACCAGATGGAGCTTGGTAGTCGTTATTAAAATTTGTGTATGAGTTGGTATTCGAAGCCGCATCATTATATATGTATATATCGTGACCACCTCCAAATGTTGGTCCATAACCATTGTTTGTGTAAATTGCGTTCCCAGTATTTTGATTTTTCAGTTGGGCTTTAAAAGGCGGGAGATTTTCTTTGTTCCGAAGAGAGAATACGAAGGATCCTGCAGCTGGTTTCCAGACACCACTACCTGTTATAACGTAAAAATAATGTTTTGACATTTTTAATCAGATTTATATTGAGCGAGTATCGCCACAGCAGTGTTGCAGCCGCGGACGAATTTAAAAAATTTCAAGTGTTCATGCATATATATGTCGCATCATAACATCAACTTTAGTGTATAAGAGGGCATGTAGTAAAACATGGACTGGACTCGATTAGGGGCCGACCATTTAACTTTTGAGGGAGGGGGGGGGG